AACCAATTTTCATGAATTTTAACACTTAAGTTTTTATTTATACAGCCTTGGTTTTTGTTTCGTAATATTTCCACACTTTCTTTAAATTTTCTGTCATAAATCCGTTTTTCTTTATGTAAAATTTGTATATTAGATTGGTTTATATTACAATTATTGATTACACAATGATCATAAAAAGCGGAGTTCAGACGACTATATTTTAAATCGGATATGTGTTCTTTAACACGTGTTTTTAATGTTCTTTTTGTTTCTCCTATGTAAAAACTGTTATTCTTACAAGTACAGGGTATTTTATAGACAACATTTTTAATTTCATTTTTATCCTCTATATTATTTGTTGAACATTGTTTCTTATTTAATCTAGATATTAAATTTTTATAATTTGGTGCGAGCTGTATGTTATTTTTCCTAAGTTCTTTATTAATTTTTTCATATACATGTTTTATATATGGAAAGCTTAAGTATTTAATTTTCTTTTCTGCATCTTTTTTGGAAGGAAAAGGAACTTTATTATCTATGTTTTTTTGCCAATTGTTGATTAATCTTGTAGGATATCCATTCAAACTAAATTTCTTTTTTAGACTGTTTATATATTTCTGTTTTGTCTCTTGTTCACTGGTTCTACTAAGTATATTCGTATTGTGAGATTAGCCGGGGGTACACTAATTCGTTGGTACCACTTAATCGGCCTATTCCGTGAGAATAGTTCTCCGAGTTTCGAATCGTAAGATCCGATCGTAAAAGTTTACATAGGAGAGCGTATTTAAAATTGATCTGAACGGCGAAGTTCAGACGTTCCTGTCAGGTTCCCGACACCAGTTTGTCAATTTATCGATGCGCGGACAAACACGCGTATGCGATCTGACACCCAATTAAGAGACATTTTTGTATAATAAACATAAGTATAATTTAATAAATCTCAAACAAACGAATACAAATAACCAAATACAACGATTATACGACAAGCTATAGACTAGGACTGAATCTATGCTAATGCGCGTTCGAGAGAGAGAGCTCACAAATGATTCTAAACATACGACCTGTTAGTTGTCGTCTTCGTTTCTGTAGATATACACCTTGCAAATAAAGTTCATATTACTTTCGTATGGGAGATCAATTCGTGCACCAATATAAAGATATCACTTCTTCTCAGAGTAGACTCGGGACTTAGTCTATCGGACTCCGTGTAAAAAACACAATAAATTTTTTTCAAATTGAAATAATTTACTTTAAATTATAAATTTCTGTAAAAGTTTTTTTGTGTTTAAAAAATGCTATTTTATATCGTAATTAATTTATTTTTGAGAAATATTAGAATTAAGTTGAAAGACTGTATATATATAAATTTTGATTATAAGTTTAAACGTTACGTTTTCGCTATCATAAAGACTTTTCCTACAGTTTTGAGGCAACAGAAGAAAAACGCATTATTTTATTGTAACAACGGTATGCTCTGCAGAAAGTTGGTCTGTCACAATTTTGTCGTTCATTTTAAAAATTGTCTCTCGTGTGTAGGAAATATATGAAATTTACGTTTAAAACATTATAACTAATAATTAAATTCATTTTAAAATCCTTAATCCATACTAAATGAACCCATTCTATTCGTTTAGAAACTCGATACTTCTCTCTACACATTCTTTTAATAACTCTTTATTATGATCAGCACATAAAGCAAAAACACTTTGTTTATATTGTACAAACTTTTAATATTCGGTTATTTGATAAACAATCAAAATTTAGAATAATTCGTTTCTATTATAATAAAGTTGACTGGAACATTTTAAAAGTTTCATTAGATATAAACGAACTTTATATTATTTAATTAACATAGAT